CTGGTTGTCGTCGTTGGCATGCATTGAAGCATCGGCTTCTCATTTGATGCTTCAAGCCTTTTCAGAATACGATGTCTAACATTTGGTTTCTTCTTCAATCAGTGCCAGGATCATTGCCATGGTGAGCAAGAAATGTGATGCTTGGTGCCGTCCTAGGAGCAGCATTGGGTTTTCCATTTGGTAATACATTCAACCCTCTAATCTTCCCAAAGTGTACATTTATCGATCGTATGCCACTAACATGGGTTGATGCATTTTGTGGCAGGGTGGGCGCATTTGAAGCTGGTAGAGAAAGCAAATGAAGGGAACCCGTCTACACATCCTGATTCAGATCAAAGAGAAGCAAGGAGTGGAGTTGGTGCAGCAATTGAAAGGCTTGAAGAAAATTTGAATAAGTAGAACAGAAAATTGAGCAAGGCTTGAAGATCTCCCTATTGTCCGGTGAGAAGAGAGAAGGATGAAAATCTCAGAGAAAGAGCATAGGCCTTGTTTCGTTTATTGAGGAATAAGAACACTCTAGTAACAATTTCACAATATTTTGAAGGATTTTTCAATTAATTTTCCAATTTATGAAGCAGAATAACAAATTTTCTTTGTTTGATCATAAGTCCCTCATATGGTGAAATACCGAAAAATAAAGGTCGGGATAGATTTTCACAGTGAAAAATTAATCTTAAAACGATAAATCAATTCTTTTGTCCATCACCGAGTCCTATTTTCTCTTTTATTTTTCTAGAATTCTTGGACACGGATTAACTTCATGGATTGATTTCGGTAAATAATAACTCCTTGATTTATACGATCTAATATGATCATACTGTCTAATACAAATTTTTATCTCCGAATTTTGAGTAACAGTAAATAAAAATTTCAAAAAACAAACAAATTAAGGACGTAAGAATTTCCCTTTCAAGTGTTTTGTTCATAATTTTCATATGCCTTGTACAGGGTTTTTTCTTCACTCTTCCATCAAAACTCAGAATGGTGAGGAGAAGAAATTGAGCAAATGAGATCTTCAAGATGAACTCTCCCACCTTAGCCTCTTCTTCTTTTCCTCTTCTCTAATCTGTCAACCAGTTGCAACCATGGCTTAAGTTAAACTTATGCACCATCTAATTATCCTTCCTTCCCTGCAATACAAAGAACTGTTAGAGCTGAGGAAGCAAAACACTATATCCATTACAAAAGCCATTTACCATCGACCGTTGATAGCACCTTGCTGTGCCATGGCTTCTTTGCCATCCTTTTAGCTGTCTCGTGGCTTTTTCGTCGTCCTTTTTGCTTCCCTAGCTGTAATGTGTCCACAGTTAAAGTTATGCAGATATTGGTAACAAAATGGGATGGGCAAGAAGATTTATGAGTACAATCCTAGTTGGAAGACAATCCTAGACATTCTTTCTTCAACAAGTCAACAACCAGATGTTTATTCAATTTGTGTGGAACAGAAGCAATCATCTGACCGAAAAGGGTCAGATGGATGAACATTTTGTCCCATTAGAGGATAATCTAACTTGTGTTGTACCTTTATATTTCCTTTTCTTGTTAGCTCTCCTCCTCTTTCTCTCTGCCTGTGTAAGTTCTGCTTCTTCTTTAATATCACCTTTGCCTGAAAACACTTCCTCAGGCGCTAGCATTGCTGCATCAGAGACAGCCACAGGTGCAATCTGCCCAAGGAGAGATATTATGATTGTCAATTTTCCAAAGACATTTGTGATAGAAAAGAATATAAAAAGAAAACGGAAATGCAGAGTTCACATTACCTCTTCCATCGCTAGAGCGGGGATATTAGCTTGTACAGTCATATCCTCGATAACCTATCCCAGATACCATATAGCAAGTACATGAATGCCCACAAATTAGAAACGTATACGCTGCATATAAATAAATAAATTTTATGATTGTGAAGCATACAGGTTTTGGAGTGAAGTGGAAATGAGAAAGAGCATCCAACTTCAAGCAAAGTTTCTTGAACAGCTTGCTTGCCTGGTCAAAGATAACGACCACAAGAATAATAATTAGCACCTTTAGATACAGATAAGGACGTTAACTTTTGATTAGTAACATGGAAGAACAATCAAAACATGCACCTCTTCCTTCTGTTTGTCTGTGAATGACAATGGACCAGAAGCCACATTCGTCTTTTGAACGTACTCGTCCTGCAGAAATTAATAAAAATAGCTTCTCAGCATATTTTACTCAAAATTGAAAAATAATTTGTTAAGTATCACATTTAGATGCTAAGACAGAAATCCAGCCTAAGGAGATCGAACTTTGGAAGGTTGGGCAGCAAATCAAGTGATTGCATTTTGCATCAGGAGAACCATACCTCATAGACTTCAGCTAGACCCTTCTTGCTCTTATTCTCGTCCTATGTATTAAACAAAAGGATTAGACACATTGAACAAGTTACTTCATTTTACACACAATAAATCAAAATTCTATCAAAAAGTAATGCTTACCAACTCTTTAATTTCTCTTGGTGCTTTAGAATGTAAAGTCGGAGCCTTTTGAACATCATCAAAACGCCCCTATAAAACACAACTGCAGTTTTAGAACTGGTTGTAATCCACAAACAAACACAACGAGAGAGAGAGTAGAAGAAACAAGCAACAATATCAAATAATGACAGAATGAGTAAGCTTAGAAAAAAATGAGAATTGAAAAAAAAAAAAAAAAATCTTTCTAATCTATAGTGATCAATATAAAGTGCCAAAAAGCCTCCAGTAGAGTTGATTGATGAAAATGTGGTTCATTAGAAATAGCTGAACTTTGAACTTAACATTTTAGATAAGAAAATATGACATGAAAATAAAGTCCTGGAGCGTATCTATTAAAAATGTTGATTACCTGCTCGATTCTTTTCTGGATGATATCCTCAATCGATGCTGTAACCTCCTCTGTGATTACAGGGGGAGGTCTAACATTGTGTTCAAAATCTAGATCAACTTCTAGCGCACTGTTCTTTGGCCTTCTCTCTGCAGTTACCTGTTGTCAAAAGCCATAATTGATATATGTAATCCATTAAAAGATACATGGGTATCACAACATGCATAATACGACTATTAGTGTCCCAAAGAAGAAAATCAGAAACAGCAATGTTACCTCTCCTCGCATGGTCCAATTTTTTGGCTCCAAATTTGCTTTTTCCATCTGGTCTATTTCAGAACGAAGTTTCTGAAGCTTCGTTTCATGGGTAGAAAGAGTTGTCTGCTTCTGTATTAAAAAATATATATTGAAATGAGATGAAACTCATTTGAAAATATGGAGAACCTATGAACTGCAAGACCATGCTCACAAATTTTGTTACACTACTTG